TTTCAAGTACTTTTTGAGACTTTTGAAGTGACTTTTACTATTGAACGACTGCATGCACTTGAATGTTCAATTCAAGAGTTTATAAAACGTGACTACCCCATGGTTGTCACCTGCCAACAGGGTGCTAACTCTCAATGGCTCGAGCCCAGTGGGTAGTTAAGTAAGCCTGTGGGGTAGTTACAGCCGTCAAAACGCACGATGACGAGAGGGGGTGCTCACGTTTTCTCAGAGTGTACTTACAGGCTGGATGTTGTCGTTATTGAGCATTTTTTGTACTTTTAATTGCCTTACCTCCCTTTTTTTAAGGATACTCGGTACAGCATCTGGTGAACAGGAGGCGCGTTTTTTTTCGGTAACACAGCGGTGCTTAGCTACTGTCATTTGTAGCACCCTTGAAGAGGTGGCAGTGCACTGAGTGAACTTGCTCGGAGTTCAAGCAGGCATTGTTGTTCTGTAGCAGGAAGCTTCGGACCGATGTCCAGTTCCGTGGGTGTCGTTCTCTGGGGCGGCGATGACAACGGCAGTTCGAAGTGTGTAGCGATAACGCTGAGTCAAGAAGTTTCTTGATGTGGCCCACGGTGGTACCTATAGTAAAGTGCTGCGGCTCTTGTCCGATGCTTGTATGAGGATTGTGGCGCGCCAGTTTTGAAGGTTTGTTACACCCCATGTGACCCGCGGTCCCCTTCCTAGAAGCAAATGGACGTTCCCCTCGAGCCGAACTTTGATGCTAGAAGCTTTATTCGTCCCGACAGGTTCAAAACACTTGACCGCGGAGGCAGCTTTATATGCTCGGTAAGGACACGCACCACAGATGACTTCGTTTTTGTATCCTCCGGTAGTGGGACAGGGTTCTGTGACTTCAACGTGTTCGCTTAAATATCAATGACAGAGCCGTACTTGCAAAAGATGTCCATTCCAAGGAGAACGTCCCTCGCACAGTCTTGAAAAATGACTAACTTCACCGGTCAAGTTTCGCAGCTAATCTTGACCCGAGCGGTGCCTCTTCCGTTGAGTGCGATGAGGTGATCTCCAGTGGTTCGTGTCTGTGGGCCATGCCACGGTGTCGTATCTTTCCGAAGGGGGCGAGAGAGCTTCCCACTCAGTACCGAATAATGTTTCGGTGTCGATGAATGCCGTCGTGTCGTGGCCGTCGATAACTATGTTCAGGCTCCACGTCACCGTTTTTTTTTTTTTAGCGTATTATCATTAGAGTGGGAGCCATCCAGTGTTTGTGGAGGATCTCGTAGGTGAACGGCAACTCCACCTGCCGGGGTTGCCGTGCTTAGTTTCCCGGCGTGGCGTGGGGAAAAGGCATTGCCGCCGGGAACAGGGAAGTGTTTACTCTGAACGTCACGGGGAAGGCGCACAAGATCCTTGGGATGCTACCGGCATCGAGGACGGCGATCGGCGCAGGTACTTTTCGATAGCTCGGCCATTCCCAAGGCGGTGCCGAGGGTCGTTCGGCGCTCACCGTCATTAGCCCATCTGGCGTAAGCTGCACCGGCGGTAGACTAGGCCGGCCTCCCCGCAGTGATAGCAGATAGGGCGTCGGTCAACCATTCGCAACGCCTCGTTCTTCCGGAAGGGCAGGCGTCTCCTGGCGGGTGTATGGAACTTGCTTGTCATGGCGTCGTGCATACTTCTGTGCTAGAGACTGACGTTGAGGCGTAGCGGTATGTGGGCGAGGTTGTGGCGGTGGCCTTCGGGCCATTGCGGCGCACGACAACGTTTAATCTTCAGTGGCTGCCATGCTGCCAGACTGTCTGGAGCCTCTGGGTTGAAGGCTCGCTCTACTTCTTCCCGAACCATTTCGGCGATGGAGAGCGATGTCGGGAGTCCCACAGTGGGAAGCAGCTTTTTTAGCTCTTGCCGTACAACGTCCCCAATATTCTCCCGAATTTCACGCAGTCTGGAGCCGTGGTCCAATAAGTTAGCAAATACGCCGTGGAGCCGCCGGTAGTGAGTTGTGATTGCAAGGATGGCTTGCTAAAGGCTGGAGGACGGACAGGCTGGAAACCGGGTTAGGACCATATGGTGACGATGTTTTAATGGGACATGAGATGATTTAGTGTCCGGTGGTAAGTCCCATTCCGTCTCCACCGCGCGTGTCCGCAGGTCCCCCTTTTATTCCCGCGGTGACGTGACGGTGTTGCTTCACCGCCGGGATCCTGGTGTTATTGGTGGTGCCTGCTGGCTTCGATGAAGAGGAGGTCCAACAGCCACTCTCATTGGCCCGGAGGTTTATGTCGCCGCAGCAGCAGCTTCTCTAGGTGTTGGAGAAAGAGGAAGACGAAGACCCGTATGTTCGAAAGTCTTGGTTCCGGGTCTCGGCCTCACCGGGATTTGGAACGTGACGGCACAAGTCCATCGAAGATCTCGTCCTTCACACCAGGCGTTAACGTACGCAGCTTCTTTTCATCGGCGCCCTGAGGGTCGGCACGGAAGGTAAGGCGCAGGACGTCGTCTGCGAAACTCGAGAAGCTTTCATTGGGGCCCTGGGTCCATGATTGCAGCAGGTCGTCGTCCCTCTCACTTCGGTGTGTACTGGCTAATGTTCCACGATATGAGGGAAGCTTCGTGGTTTGTAAACATGGGCCGAGCAGTCCGTTTTAGTGAGAAATGGAGGTTCTGCAGGCGCAGGCCGTCACTCCACCAGTTTGGCGGGCCACGAGATCGTACTGGGGGATCCAGTCTTCGACGTCCCCGTAGATCTCGCCGAGAAAAAGAGTAGGTGCCCGCAGAGCGACAGGCAGGACGACGACACGCGTGTTGGTCATCGTCGTGGTCTTCCTTTTTAAGTAATCCGGTAAGAGACCAAATTCAAGTGGTTGGTCTCTGGTGCAACGGCTTGGTCGGGGTCCGGCGTCTTCCACAAAGGGACGTCTTCCTAGGCTGAGGATCTCGCTTGTCCGGCGTGCATTCTGAGGTGTGCGCTTTACGGGCATAAATTGCAATACCCCGCGCCTCCACCAAAATGTCACGAGGGACAAATGATGGTGCGGAAAATAGCTAAAGAAAATGAAGTTTAATGGCGAACTTGTGCCAACACAAACAAATAAAGAATAACTTAGAAGAATAGGAGGGCGTCCCGGGCGTCGGCGAGAATGATGGCTTGAACGCAGGCGGAAGACTCACTCCGGTTCGCCACGCGGAGCTTTTAATATACAGGCGTGGGCTTTTAAAATAATCGGCATAAAAAGTTCGCCGCGTAAAACATTCGGACAACGAAAAAGCTGTAGAATTCTCGCATTCACCGGAGCCCGATATTTACAAAAATATCAAAAAGATGCGTCCGTTCCCAGGCACTGAACCTCGGTCCTTTGCGTCGGAGCCAAGCACGATTGCCATTCGGCGACAGGCGTACTTCCTAGTTCGCTGCGGGCGTTTGGGGGTTTAGTATTCATAGGAGTTTATATAATAAAACATAAAAATTATCGAAAGCTTTACACAAACCTCGTCAATGTTAAAATATAAATACTATATATGTTTATTGTGGGGTAACCCTACTGAAAAAAACCATATGAATTTTCCATACGGGTCTTCATATAGCGTTATGGGATACAGGTCATACGGTTGGTACGGGTCATATGGTTGGTACGGGTCATATGGTTCGTATGGGTCATATGGTTCATACGGTTGGTACGGGTCATATGGTTCATACGGTTGGTACGGGTCAAATGGTTGATACGGGTTGGTACGGTTTGTATGGTCCATATGGTTTGTATGGCCTATGGTTGTTATGGATGATATTGTTCATGCAGTTTAAATCGTTGATATGATCTATAGGCCAACGCACTATTTACCAACAAGCTTGCACGAGGTGTGAACAAATTCAGTTTCTACACGAGGTGCAAGCACTGCGTGTGTGCAAGAACGACATTCACGTGACGTAAAGCGTCTGCACATGCACCCTAACAGTAGCAGCGCCACCGTAGCAACGTGACGTCAGAGCCGCGTATTGGTGTATATCGATCGTGTTAACCACATGGTTCACTCATCAGTGAAACATGAAGTTCAGCAGGGAAACACTTTCCTTTTAAAGCCTATGCAAGATAGCAGAAAGTGCATGCACAGAGAAATGCTCAAACTTCGAGAAATTGTGAACATACATTCCACCCGCAGGCTCGTTTATTTGTCCTCCAGTCTCAGGCTTTGAAGTAGCTCGTGCATGCTAATGAGGCAATTCTTTGAGGCGAGCTGCATCTGCTTTCCCAGTTGGTCACAGGCTGACGCACCTCCGACGGGGCATCTGAAAGTAATGTAAACAAAACCGACAGTCACATTACATGTTCTCGTAAAATAGTTTGTACAATATCTATCTAGTCAGTAAACCCTTTTCAAAAGTCTATCAAGCAACAATGGCTGTCAGTACTGCTTGCTCACGAAGTGCGTGACTGGATCTGAGTTCTCGCTGAACGCTGACGCAGGGCTCGCTTTCAGTATATGCTCAGAGTATGAGAGCAAGCAATGGCGGACAGGCGTTCGCACTGACGTTGGAAAAGGGTCTATTGACTTAAATTTTATGACTGACCTAATATTTAAAATCATCTACCTTCTGCAACTTTCACATTCTGAAAACAATCACAAACATTTATCAAGGCAATACATCACCGCATGACGGAAAATACATAACATACAACTTTCGTCAACTTACATAGCATAGAACTTTCGTCACCACGGGACGTCTCTGCAGTCTCCCGGGATGCAGACCTCCCACGTGGTCACACCCCGGTCCAAGCATCCCTCTCGTCCCGTTTCCCAGAAGAACGCAGGAACAGGCAGCTGTCCCGATCATACGCCGAGACCCAAACGTCTCCACTTGTCTCCATCGTTCGTTAGCACCCGGTCTGAAGGCCGAGGAAGCGGGCCTCTGTTTCTCAGCGGGGTGTCAGGGGGGGTCAGCTCCCGCTGTGCCGGGTGGCCCGCTCGGCGTCGCTCGGAAGCTGCACCCCACCCACGCCGCGTCGGTCAGCATGTTCGGCGGCGCCAGAATGCCGAGCCCGAGACTCTGGTCAGTCGATGGGAGGTCGATGGCGCTGCCAGGAAGCCGAACCTGCTCTCTGGGTGGCCGATCATAACAGAATGCATCCACCAGGTGCACATTGAAAGTCGTTTATTTAGCTTTAAAATTAGTTTTCTTGTGCTTTTCAACGGAAGACTGGTGATTTTAAGGTTAGGGTGCAACATGCAACACATTAAAGCTAGAAAATGAGTGCTGAAATTTCGTTTCCCTACACCTTTAATGGAAGTGTAGCCACATAATCTTAGTATAGTATAATTAATAAATTATTCTATGCATGAACAGGAACTTTTAGTTAAGTAAATCATTCCTGCAGTCCATTAAGCACAAAATTTTAGTTTAGACTAGACAAATGTAAGCCAGAAACACTCAAATCCTGGAATTCATAAGGAAATAACTTTATTTGTGCTTACTGCAGACTTATTTTTCGCGGGCTCCATATTTCGCAATTAAGGTCGGAGCTGAAGTTTTGAAATAATTCGCGGGTTCTAATTTTCGCGATGCAGTGGGATCTCCATATAGATTCCAATGTGTTTACACTTTACCGGAATTGTTTACGGGACCTACTTTTTCAGCAATTGTAGGCGATTCATAAAAACGATTCGACAGCAATCTCAACCAAGCGATTCGACAGCGACCTCAACCATTGGGGTTGCTGTCACGTGCCTTACTTCGACGCTCTTATTGGGTTGGGAAGGCCGCAGCCTCCACAGCTCGTCAAGTTAGCGTGAAACACAGAGTATAGTTGCTGCACTCGGAGTAAGGGTAAAGGATCGCAAACTCAACATGCCCAGCACCTGGAAGAAGGCATAGGACATACACCTCGAGGCTAAAGGGATACTGAACTGAAATTTTGAACTCGCAAAACAAGGCTGGACAGATAGGCGGGACGTTGCAAAACCCAAGAACATCACTCATACAGCGATATCTCTAACGGATCGCCATATTTTTAGAAAAGAAGTGCCCGGCCAAGGAGGCCGACGAGACAAGGCACGTCACGATTCTTATTCCCTCTCCTCCTCGCTACGTCCCGTGTCAAGCTGGTGAACCGAAGCGAGGAGGAGAGAAGCGAGGCCGCTTCCCCTCATTCTCAAATTCTCCCGGAGGACAGTGATGTCAAAGACCTCGCTTGATCGTGCCCTTCTTTTTCAAAAGTTCAGCGATCTGTTCGAGATATCGATGTACGAGTAATGTTTTGGAGTTCGTAGAGTCCTGTTCAACGCCTCTAGAGCCTTATTTCGCGAAATTCGAATTTCGGTTCAGTATCCCTTTAACAAGCCACACGCCAGATAAGGTGCTCCATCTGTGTTTAATGGTTCCAGAAATCTATCGATGCCCTTGCACCAGCGGAGTTGAATCGTTCATTATGAAAAGCAAACCAACAAAACTGCAAGATGTTTGGCAAAAATAGGTTACAGCCTGTGCTTTTGATTTGGAACTTCAGAAAGATGAGCTCAATTCTCTGGAAATTAGAAACTATGTATATTCTGAAAGAATTACTGTTCTGCATTTCAAGGTTGTCTCGTTAAAATAAAAAAATAAGTACCAGAAAAAAGTACTAACCTGATATGCACCTATGAAGTCTTGTTTTGGCTAGCAGTGACCGGCCCTGGTTAGCAATGACTCCATGTCCCCAGGATTGAAATGATGGTTAAGTAACGTCCAGCCCTTATGCGCTTTTTGGTACAACTGGAAGAGACAAAACATCTTGTTAAAAATTACCAATCCTTTTCACGTGCGAATTTTGCAGTTCATGCTTCCTGAAAGTCATTTCCCACGATAGTGTTAAATTAGAACAATGAGAGCAAAGTTGTTTCAGTAAAGGGCCCCTGAAAAGAAAAACAAATGTTTTTTTTAAACAGACTTGTTGGGACACACGTGTCAAATAATTAATTTTACGTAAAAAAAAAAATTGGTCAGAGCAATATTGACGGCGTGAGACGCAATTTAGTCGGTAGTCACCTCCTTTCCACCTGTTTCCTCTGGGCACTTCGAGCGAGTAGAGGAGAGGGAGATCAGCTTCGCCTTCGTGTTGAGGTGGCGAGAGCGAATGACCATTCCGGGACGTCATGGACTTTGCGCACAGAATTTAAAATAAATCTCTTGCCGTCAATTTTGCTCTAAGAAATTAATTATTTTCGCATAAAATTTATTTTTTGGCACGAGTATCCTTCTCAGACTGTTCAAAAAAATTTTTTTTTTCCAGAGACCCTTTAAGAGGTGTTTGCCTGATATGCATCAGTGGAATCAGGTATTGACTAGCAATGACTTATTGCCCCCAGGACTGAAGTGCTGTTTCAGTAAAGTGCCGTTCACACTCTTGTGACCGAGTAAGACCGAGAGAGACCAGACCGGTTTTTAAGCCTTTTGCGAGTTCTTAGGACGGGATGCGCCAGAACGCAGCTGGTCCTAAGAGATTGCAAGTGGCTTGAAAACCGGTCTCGTCTCTCACGGTCGTACTCGGTTGCAAGAGTGTGAACGGGCCTTAATGCTTCCTGCACAAAAAATTCAAATGTAAGAACACAAGCCCCAAAATGTTTGTGCCATTCTCCTCCCCCTACTTTTCTGTGCATTTTTTTTTATCCCTTGGCAAATCCTAAAGAATTCAAAATGCGTATCCTACATCCTTCCGTTAGACTGAGTGGGTAACCCGGAGAATTCATTGTTTGTGAGAACACTTTTCCATTCACCCCATGCTGTTCTTGAAAGCAGAAACTCCTCTCTCTTAACCACAGTCATTAAGCGCTTTTCATAGACCATGCACACAAGGTTGGCAATGCCAGCACAAGCTCATGTCTTCACTTTGAGCATGGATTAAGCATATATAACTAAATATGAGACACCGGAAGAAGGAAAAAGGAGGACACAAAAAAGAGGACGACACACATAATGTCTCGAACACAGCTGCAGGTTCATACTAAAACCACACCATTTTATAGGGGTACACCGCAGTCAATGCCAAGAACCCTCACACCAAGTCACACCCCCAGATTGTCAGCAAGGGGGAAAAAAGAACTGCCCTCAACGTTCCCACACTTGCCAAAGTCAACCCACCGACTAAGAAGTAAAAAAAAATGCAGCTGTGGTTGAGACGTGTTGTGTTTGATGTTCTCCTTTTCGCGTCCTTCTTCCGGCGTCTCAGGTTTAGTTATGTATGCAATTCACCACCCTTGCCTGTACTTTTACTCTTCTCTCAATTAAGCATACGCCTGCAATTCGTAATATCTGATCTATGGAAAGTCTCTGATCCACCAAGCCTTTTCCATTATGAGCAGGCATTATTTATAAAAACCTCCTTTCATTACATTGTTTCAGAGAACAATTGTTCTTCTTAATTAGGATCAACTGATCATATTAGGATAATTGCCAAATAATGGCAAATTCACATGATACATCGAATTGCAATTTTCATCCGTGCACCATTTGTCAAGTTACCATCATGTAGGCTATTCCTGAGATTTGTCCCTCGTCCGCGGACACCCATACTGAAAGGGCAGAGTGCCTTCTTAATCGCAGATTTTCGGCAAGTGAGTAACTCGAAAAGCGTTTTTATGGTAGAGTAGCAACAGCTCACGAATATTTTTGTTTTCAAATCAGTCAAACAAAGAGAGTGGATCATTGCTTTGTCGCGCCACTCTTAAATCTCCACGCGTGAAAGAAGCTGCAAGAACTTTGCCCGGCTGACACGCCACAGGTCCTGGTACTCCTCCGGGTTGGTGTCAAGAAGCTTGTCAAAACTCGCCTAGCATGCTGCAATCTGTCCTGCAGATCCACCCAGTTTTCCATCCAGCAAGACCTTTCTTATGGCTTGTGCTGAAGAGTGGTGCACAAGCGAGCAGTGTGTAAAGGTATTTCCGAATGCCTCTCCGCGACCCCAGGACTTCATCGCTATGATGCTGAAGCCTCCTGAAGCAGGATCATACTTGTGTCATGTCGTTAGTAAAGTAAGTGACACTTCGCTCTAAGCCTGCCACTATGTTTTAGCCCACTTGGTATGTAACAGCAGCACACAACGATTCCTTTTCATGATAGCACCGTGATCCTAGTCGCAAACATCACTTCTGCTCTTGGAAAACAGTGCCACACTGCGATGTAGGCGTTTTGCAAAATTGCAAGGCTGCGAATAGGTATAGTATGCCCTCGCTGTCACCTGCTCGTCTCCTTAGTGTGGATGCGCTTGGGGGACTAACGTTCCATGGACGTCTTGTCACGTGATAAACCCATCCGCGGATTAGCACGTCGTGTAAATCAGCCACAGATGGACTGCGGAGTCTGCAATCACTTAACATTTTTGTTGACGTTGCCTGCACGTCATGAAAATGTGTTTCGTATCCAATTAGATATTCTCGAAGAAACAAGGAAACTGCATAATGATGTCGCACAATATTCACGTTAAAGGGACAATGAAGACGATTTTATTTAATTTTTCTAAATGGTGTTTTAATGCTTCTTGGGAACATAGCATGCCGCCCAATTTTTTGTAGACATTTATGACGCGTATTTATGTGCCGACGAAAGAAGTAAAGAAACCAAAACTGAACCATCTCCAGTCTCGTTTCTGGGCCTCCGAAAACGGAGGTGACGTAGGGGGTGACGTCAAGTGTGAATAGTCGGCATCGGTAGTATTTAGGAGATTGAGACTCTGGTTATCGCGGTGGGTTATAGCAGCGCGGTGGCGCGGTCGTTGCACCGCCTCTGTCAAGATGGACGAATGCTGCTCTCGCAAGCGAGTTCGAGCTTCCGTTCAGTGACCGAACACCAACGGAACGGGAGTACGTGTGTGGCGGCCACTGCCATCACCCGCCGGAGACCGCCCAGCCGGCAACGAGCGGCCCGCATGCCGAAGGACGGACGCGGGGGAGATGCCGAAGGGAAAGCGGCAGCGATCCCGCCGTTCCGGGGTCCGGTTCCTCCGCGGACGTCCTCTTTTTGTCGTCAAAGAACACGAACAGCTACCCACACGTGAAAACTAGCGTCGCCCGAACGAATATTGGTCTTCAGTCGACCGTTAGAACAGCCATCTACAGCTACCATTCTGCAAAATCTTTCGAGTACAGTGTTCTTTTTTAATTTTATTTTGTTGGCGCATAGTTGCTCGTTGCCGGTTTCACGTCCAGCGTAGCAAATAAAAAAACAATGATGCTGCTTTATTTACGGTTTAGTAATCATTTCCAATCCGATTTATACTTTTGATGGTTATTCAAGCGGAAATTAGAACAGTATTTCTAAAAATCGCGAACTAAAACGTGACCGAGGGCACGTTTCTCGTTTCGACCAATCGCTGACGTGTCTCTTGTGACGTCGCGCTCCTTGGCCCCGCATCGGTCACGTGAGCTCCGCTTCTCCTGGCTTCTCCCGCAACTCTCGGGGCGTCGCCCCAGTCGATCCCGGTACGATTATTACCCCGACTGTTTAATTGATTTGCGCAGCACACAAGCGCCGGTTTCGGCTGAAATTTGGGCAACGTGGCCTGAGACGTGCCTGGAACCCAGTTCAATCGCCAAAAAGATCTCCGAAATTGCCTTTATTGTCCCTTTAACCACTTAACAGGTTTTTGTTTTACAATTTTTCGTCCTAAATTTTTTTTTTTTTTTCCTTTTTTAAAGTTTGTGCGGCTCGGGCCGCACGTGCCTCCACAATTGGTCGCCATCCTTAAAAACGTGTACAATAAAAATATGCGTGCTGCCATCTCTCAGCTGCACCGCAAAATAAGTTCGGAGCGGGCCTGGGACGTCCAAAACAGCCAAGGGGCAAGGTAGGATGCGTGGACGTGCTACATTCCTCCTAAACGCCTAGGGAACGGCTCTAGGTGGAAGAGCTAGGCTTGCTTAAAACAGTTAAAGGACACATGCAAAGAAAGCAAACTTTTTTTTTAAACAGCCGGATTAGGAAAAGGAAGTCATAAAACAAATTTACAACGAAAAAGAAAAATTTTTAGAGCTATATTTACGGCGCTAAACGAATTTGTAGTTGGCGCCCGCGGGCACCGCGGAGAAGTGGCCCTTATTTATCACGTGATTGGCCGCTATTTGTCACATGGTACCGTAAAATACCGAGCAAGCGCCCACTCAAACTTTAGAGATAATTGTGAAAAAATCGGGGATGGGCCCTTCTTCGCTCATCAATTTTACATAAAAATGTACTTTGTGTATTTTCTAAGATCCTACAAATTTGGGAATGGGCGCTTAGTGTGGCGTGGGCGGATGCACAGTATTCTACGGTACTTGCACTCTTTCGGATGCTTCGTATGGTCTCGAAAAGTTACTTATTCATCTTCGTTTGAAGTGCAACAAAAAACAAAGATTAATAAGTTACTTTTAGAGCCCAAAGGAAGCTCCTGAAAAAGCGCAAGCAGACGTGATAAACCTGTGCACCGGTAAGATGACGGCGGCGGCACCCCAGAGCACACAAACTTGCACGACGACGGCGGCGCCGCCGTGGAGAAATGCATTGGAGCGGCAGCGCACAGTGCTTAGCATGCGGCGGCAGCGGGTCTCCGCGGCTTCGGCGACACAGCGCGGCAATGCACAGGTCTAGCACGTGACCAGCGACGGCTCTCACGGGCGCCAACTACAAATTCGTTTTGCGCCATAAATATAGCTCTAAAAATTGTATTTTTTCGTTGTAAATTTGTTCTAAAGCAATCTTTTTCCATCAAGGCTGTTTTAAAAAAAAATGTATTTTTTCCTTTGCATGTGTTTTTTAAGGGTTTAAGGAGCTGCAGTACCTTCCATGTTATTGAATCTTATGTAGTAGTATATGATTCTAAGTCACAAGACTAGGTTACAGAAAGTAACAAGAAAGAGGAAGACAGGACGTCATATTGATTCATATTCAAATTTTTTCATCAGTCCCGTATTAAAAGGTTTTCATAATAAAACTTGCACTTATATTTTATCTACACTTCTCTTTCTCACAATGTCCTGTCTACCAAATGGACCAGCGAAGCAAACTCCCCCCCCCCCCCCCCCCCCCAAACATGCACACAATGCACAATTGAAATTTCTGGACACAATATTTCATGAATGTATTGGGCATCTGAACCAAGCTGAAGAAAAACTTTTGGTCTGAGGAAATAAAGGGTTACACAACTGAAAAACATAGCAGTAGCATACTTCTCACTTTAGCACGTGTAGAAGAACCATTCATTTCTATTAGAAAGGTAGAAAAGACAAAGGCTCAGGTTACTCACCGACAGCAACTACCAGGAAAGCAGGGGGGGCATGATTGTGGAGGCAGCTGGTCTCCAATGCTTGTGCCTTTCTGAAAATTGGAAGTAAGACTTTTAAAGCAAAATGACCCCAACTATTGCCACAAAACATGCTTTCATTCCATTTCTCATATCAAAAAAGTTGGTATGAGGAACTTTGCCGGGCTGACACGGTGCAGATTCTGGTATTCATCTGCGTCAAAAAGCTTCTGTCAAATCGTGTCTAGAACGACGGAAGCACTTTGCATCTCCAATGAACCGTTCAGCCAGCAAGACCTTTCTTGTAGGGGTGTCACAAACCAGCCGACGTTCGAGTTTGACCAGGTTGCGACTTTTTCCAACTTCTTGCGAAAAGTTAGAAAAATGTTCGACTGCTGTTCGCACGCGCGACATGCTGGCCAGTTGGCTTAGGATTGGATGGTGATGGCTAAGGGATGAATTAAGGGCAGCACTTACTGGTTACTCCAGTTAATACAGTACAAAAAAGTAAGTTATTAACTTGTTCAGTAGTTAGAGTTAGTTTCTTTTATTTGCAACTGTTTATAAAATTAAAATAACCTTTTGAGTGAAACACAATTTTTGTAGACCTAGACATGCTTGTATCATGGTCTTGCCACGCTGTCCACAAAGTCGAGCAAGTCAAATCTGGTTAAAAGTTTCGAAGGTTTGTCGAACCGGTTTGACACAGTCGAACCCCAAATGCTCGACCTAAAAATCCGGTTTGCCAAAAGTTCGCGGCACCCCTACTTTCTTGTGGCTGTGGTGTATTGAAGGCGCAAGCACGGAGTGAGTGAAGGCGTCTCCAAATGCCCCGTGGCGAGCCCAGGATTTCGTCGCTTCTACGCCAAAGTCTCCTCAAGTAGGACTACGCTTGTGTTTTTATCATGACTTTGTTTAGTAAAGCTAATGGTGCTTCGCACTAAGCCTATCATTGTGTTAAATCTCCCTCTGCACGTAACAGTGACGCAGAGTTCTTTTTTTAAAGTAGAAAATGTTGATTTCGATTTGTGACAACTGTGTCACAGTGTGATCGCACAATGTTAGAGTTTCTCAGCAGTGTGGGGCCGCGAACATGTTTGGTACGTCCTGCCTGTCGTTTGTGAGTGCGCTCCTTTGTGTGGATCAGTTCGTCGTATGAATCAGCCATCAATGAAGAGTGCTGTTCATTTTGAACTTGATATAAATTAACTGAGCAGCACCATTTTGTAGGATGGCTAACCCGCCTAAAACCCCCTGATGTGTTTGTGTTAGTTTTGGAACTGGCGTGTAAGTGCCAGTGCACAAGGCCCATGCAGCACTTGTAAGCAAATGGCAATATAGCCCTGAAAGGAGAGGTACTTAGAAGTGAATTCTTTGCAGCTCGGCATAAAGCTATCTCGCCTCTGCCTCCTTCATAAAGTCGACTATCATTGCCCCGACCTCAAGAACTCTTTGTTATCACCTCCGGAATGAACATCATCTTGTATTTACAGTTCCACAAACGCATTCAATCAGTCTTTCCTTTCTCAAGCCATCTGCGACTGGAACAGCCTACCATCCACCATCGTAATCCCAGAAGTATTTCTAGCAAGCTTACGGATTCATTTTTCTTGTTAAAAGTATTTTATTGCCAGTGTGTATGATTAATGAGCTTCCTTTTCTTGTTTGTCTTTATTTGTATAAGAATGGCACGGAAGTGCCAGTGCACGAGTTGCACACTGCACGAACCCTGACCATGCCGTTAAGGTGAAAATAAATTAAATGAAATGATTGGCAACACAGCACTCACTCGTGGCACGTCTCCCTCGCATTCGCACAATAAAGGCTGAAACGCATGTAAGCGGTTTAGCAAGCAATGAGACGAGCAACTGAGACTTGTCACTGTAGCTCGGTTTCTGGATTTCTAGAGCGATTACCTTGTCGCGAGACTGACTGAGTGATAGCAAAATGGTTGCCATTGCTTGTCTCTTCGCTCGCTCAATCGCTTACACATAATTTATACTTTATGGCTGTTGGTGCTTGCAAAAATGTAAAGCGTCAAAGGCTTTGTTCTCGCTGACTCTCAGACTGCTGCGAAAACTTTGGGTTCCAGTGAAATAAGACCACGTGATTTCTTACTTTGCTTATGAACTGAGGAGGAAAGCTGAGGAGGCAGTAGCTTGAAAATCAGCTCATGGTCTCCTCAAGTTGTTTGGAACACCTTTTTTTCTGTTTTCTTTGGCACTACTCAATGCGCGTTTTTTTTCTCCCGACCTTCACAATAAAGTATTGCCAGAGGGTTAGTAAATGAGCGCTACATATACAGCACTTTGTATAAAAAGTCAGTGCCACAGTCGAAAAATAACTCCTTATACTCTTCGCAAGCAACGTCACCAACACAGACGGTACTTCCAAAGGCGCAGGTCACGCAATATTTCGAGTAGTTTCCCAGGACGAAAATCGAACTTGGATCCGACCTCCCACAGTGGAAACAAACGGGGAGCAAATACGAGCGCTACGACGCAAACTGGTACCTTCAGCAGTCATGGGTTCCGCAAAACACACCGCCTAGCTAGGTGGTACCAAGCCGCCACCCGATTTGCAGGACTCAAGCCTTGAACACCGATCTAAGAGATAAAGCTCCCCGATCACTCACCAAGCGCCTCGCTCGGCGCCCCACGCCCCCGTGGGACCTTGCCTCTGGGTCCGTTCCCGCCATTTGACTGCTCGCTCAGTGACAGGTCGGTTCCGGTACTTCCTTGGAAAAAGCTTGAGGGTCATCCAATGCGCAAAGAATGTGTGCGACAAGGAACCGCACACGTCCGCTTTCACGCTGCCTGCACACGCAAGAACACGCCATACACGCTCCGAAAAGAAAGGGCTGGAAAAGTACTCACCAAGTAGACTGAAACTCACAACTGGCTCTATGGGCACGCCGGCACCTGGGACACTTTGTTTCTTCAAGAACGTTCTTCGATGTTTTTCCGTAAGCCTAAAGGCCTGAAACCGCCCGAAATACGGTGGCCCGAGAGTTTGCAGCTTGGTTTGTTTTTGATTTTGGTGACGATGGCGATGGCGATGCGGCGACGTTCGCTGGTTTGACGACAGGTGTTACGACGAAACTCATTTGACGCAACGTAAATGTTCCTGTTTTAATCGACTTACATTACAAATTTTAAACATAAATAAAAACTGTTTCAACATTTATATATTTATTTGTAATAAAGTATGCGTGTACTAAACTAAAGCTTGGCCTGGCTCAGCCTCGTTTTATTTTAACATGGCGGCGACAATCGTCTCTGTTCGTGCTCTGTGCCGTGCTGGACCTATTGGCTGTTCACTGATCGTCCTGTTATCCACCTCTTGCGATCCGCATCAGCCGCAGGCGTGCTGTCTAAGTATTGTGTGCCCGCCGGAAAGAATATTCAGTCTTCTCGGAGGCAAGGCTGCAGCTAGGGCTTCTCGGATCGTGGCTCGGACTCCGCGAGCCTCACGTCGTCTGCTTGGTTCCTGCACGTTTCCGGCGTCGGATCCCCCAGCCTTGGCCTCAGCCCTACATGACCTAGCTGGTGAAAGACAATCTACAACAACCCGGCGTCTTTGGAATGCGATTACTACGATTAGTGGCTCTTAAAAACTCGGTAGCCCCCCGTCAGTGGTGAGCTCTTCGATGTGAATGGTGTTACCTTCACAGTGTCCCGACGCTCCGAACGGTCATTCTACAGGTGACGCTGCGAGACGCGAGCCTTCTGTGTTGCTTCAACTCTCAGTGTAATTCTCAAAATGGGCACTTGGTGCCGAATAAGCTGATGCACCTTTACTCACTCTCGAGACTCATCCCACGACGGTTCTAGCGGTACGTAAAACGTGGATGCACGATTCGGTTTATGGCGGTCACCTTGTCGATTGATACAGTGGAGAACACTGCTTACAAAAAGGACCGTTCTAAGAAGTGTAGAGCTGTGCTGGTCCTGGTACCTTTCCGATTACCCTTTTGGCGACGCCGTAACCTGGAGTATGAACCTCCCACAAGCATGGCAAGGTGCTGTTATGCTGCGAATTCTGCCCCGCCTTTCGTGAAAGCTGAGTCCTACGGCTTGCCCAGCGAGCCACTGGTGCTCATTAACGCGAATTAAATATGTGCATACTAGAAGTCTTGAAGTTGAGTCGCTCAGAGTGCAGTACATACCATGGAACCATTTCCAGTGGCCCAAGTGCTGGACAGTTCCGTGAGACAGTGTGCCCAGTCCAATTGTTCTCAACATATTTATTAATCATAATAATGCCTCTCTGCAATCGACTCCACTGCTGTTACGGACAACCGGATGTTGGTGCCGCTTATCAGGTGACCCCAGAAACCACGAGGGTTCGCAGAACAACATTGAGAAGGTCTGCAATAAACATTCAGCTACATTTCTTCTCACAGCATGTCAACAATTTTGTCCAAAACGTGTGGAACGCTGAATTTTGTACTTCGCATGCCTAGTAGAACAGGCCATAACACACTTGGGTGCCTTTCACAGCCTTGGTCCTGCAACACCTAGAGTACTGCAGCTTCATACAAAACTCCAATGAGGTTTATCTTGTAAGATCAGTTGAAAGTGTTCACCAAAGGGCAACTACGTATGTTAAAATTTCTTTACCTTGTATATTGTATATTGTGCTTGTGTCCTGTGTCGTATCTATATGTGGTATACACTGGATGCCATATTTGAGGTGACTGCTCGTAATGCATGCACGGCAGGGGAGGGAGAAATTATCTTCTCAGCAGGGCTCTCCTTTGTGTGTTCCAGACTCGCCCAGACGGTCCTATTCTCTTTTTGAAGACTAACCTGTCACTCAAAATTCGTACAAGAGCAGCTTTCCGCTCTCAGTCTTCCGTGGTGGTGCGAAATGGATGATGCGACGTCAGTGCAAGGCCTGTAGGCATGTTGGAAGCTTGCCAATAGTGCATGCTCAGCGTTAGCGAGCTCAGCTATGACCGCTAGTGAATAACACTTATTGCATATTATCAGCATCCCTTCTGTCATTCTTATTAGCCTCCTGCCGTCTGTGAACATGCCGAAGTTCCTATGCACATTG